CAGATTATCAGTAATCCTAAACAAGAGCTGTAGGTTTCAGTTCATTAATATGGAGCTGAACAGTCAACATTCATTTTACACACATTTGCTGTTGGTGACAAGCAATTTGAACTCAAGTTATATGTAAATACATGTTAAATGTTCTTTGCATCATAAAGCAAAAATGTCATCGTCGCCCCCCCCCCTTGCAGTTTGTCCTCATTTAAAATCCAGTTTCAGTCTCAAGTTCACCTCCAACTGTGAGCAGAAGATCAATGAAGTCAGTGTGTCTTTAAATTAATGCTTCATCTGTTGTGTTCCAGAGCGGCTTCATGTTCTGTGCAGTGAAGTCGCTGTGAGCTAAAGATCCAGACTGTGGGTGAGCAGGACCCTCAGCTCACTGTTGTTTTACTTCAGTGCACTGCAAAGACAATGTGTCAGCATCCAGGTGGATTCAAAGTGGACTCTGGAGCACATTTACTCTGCAGGATACTGAGTTCTACCTGCCGTCCTGCAGCTGCATGTTTTACCTGGTGTCCTGCAGGTTTGTGTTTAAGGCTGAGGAGAGAAAAACATTCAGTTAAAGCAGAAACCTCATTGACCTCATGAACATTTCAGTGAACAACACACTGCTGACTTACCTAGAGATGCTGATAATCCATCTTCATCTGCTTTCTCCTTTTGTAATGAAACGTGAAACAAATGAATGTCAGGCTTCAGTTTCTCAGATAAACCAAGTGTTGTCAACAGTGAACACATGAGAGAAACAAACTTACCTCTTCCTGAACATTTGAACATTTTTGTCCTGTTATGAAACAAAACAAAGAAAAAAAAACATTTTAATCAGAGTCGGGACTTGGAAAAAATATCATCATCCAGACAAAGCGTGATCATATTTATTGTTCTCCATCATCCTCACCTAGTTTTAGATGTGCTTTCTTCTTTTTGAAGTAAAAGAACAAAACTAATCCAACACATATGAATAAAAAAAGTAAAACAGGGATGGTCACAGCTGCTGGAACATTTGAACTTTCTTCTCCACATTCAGCATCAGAAGAAGCAGTTCCTGCTTTTATCAGATGACGGTTTACTGATTCACATCTGGAATGACAGAAGGACATTGTTACAGGAAAATGTTCAGATACAACAAATCCTCTGCTGTTGTCAGAAGTCGGGAGTCTCCATGTGTGATTTAAAGCTTCACGTACTGAGTATGTTCCTGACAAGATGTAAATGTTCCATCTGAAAACGTTCCAGCGCTGCAGTCAGAGCACACAGTGTCTGTGAAGGCTGTTCCTGCACAAACACAAACCACAGATATGTTGAAACCAGTTCACAATCTCATTATGAAGGACTCAGAGTGTTACATGATGAATGATGAGCAGACGGAACAACAATCGAACACATTTCATCAGTCAATCATTCAGGTGAGGAGAAGGATCAGACTGGAATCAGCAGACACCAAATATTAAAGGACGACTGAGCAAACTGTTCACTGATGTTAGTGTCATGATTCATGAAGAGTTTTGGCTGCAAGAACCACAAAAGAACCTTCAATAAACTGTGTTATATGGTTGATGTGAAGAGATGGTTGAGGCTGGTTTGAAGCCAAAAAGAAAAAGCAAAGATCAGGTGTGCAGGCGGTGTAGTTTTACACAGCTGTTGGTCACAACAGATTCTTATTTTATCTTCCTTTTATCTTATTCTGGTGCTTCTTTACTCAAATCAACTGGCCACNTCTATATTAATGTGATGCTGAAGCTAAGTGGTGATTAGCTTGGAGCTAAACAGCTAGCATGCAACTCTGTTGAAAAAAATAAAACAAAAACTTTATCACTTCATGAATTAATGTTGCTTGAACTTCTGCTGCCTCTAAATAAATAGCATGTTACTTAAAAACACGCTTCTTTGCTGTCTTTTGAAGTGTATTGAGGAGAAAATTGATACCACTCTCATGTCTGTGTTACATATGAAGCCGGAGCAAGGTTAGTTTCGAGCTAAACAGCTAGCACGTACCTTAGCATGAAGAAAAAAAAAGGAAAGGCTTGACATTTTTAGTTATGTACAATTCATTCAGTTGTCCAATCCAGTAAATGGTGCTGTGGTAAAAATGAAAGGTCCTGGATATGCAGTCTCCTCAATCTGCAGCCCTGAGAATATGTTATAAGCTCATATCCCCAGCAGGGTGTGCTGAAGCACAGCTGTTCAGCTCAGTTTAGTCCTGCCAGATATCTGCAACCTACTACTAGAACTTGAACAGGCCTCTCCTTCAGCACTGCACAACTGATGAGTGAGCAGTTTTGTAAATGTTTCCTAAAGGTTTCACTCATGATTCCTGTGTCTTGCAGCTCAGGGCCATGAGGTCGTCTTCCCTCCTCCTGCTCTTCTTCCTCGCGGATGTAAGCGACGTTCACGGAGGTTCAGAGTTCAGAATCTGCGCCTTCAACCTCCATAGCTTTGGAGATTCCAAAAGCAAGAACAGCGAAGTCATGCAGACTCTTGTCAGGGTGAGACAGAGACGGAGGGGGATTTGTTGAGGATGTGTGCCTTTGACAGTTGAAATGACACGTATTTCACATCTCTTTCAGATCATTACTCGCAGTGACATTTGTTTGCTTCAGGAAGTGAGGGACAGCAAAGGAAAAGCGCTACCAAAGCTGCTGGAAAGACTCAAAGGGTGATTAATCAGCTGCTGTCACACACAAATCCACACAACAGTGCTTCTGTCACTTCAGAGGCATAGACTGTATAAAAGATGGACGTAGCTACCGTGACGTCACCCGTTGGTTTCTGCACTGAGAAAATGAAGCCAGGGTTTTGCTACTTCCTGGTTGACATCTTGGATTTTTGGAGCCAGTGACGCAAAAATCGTCGGAGGGGGGCAGAGCCATAGGAGCAGCGATTGGTCAGACCAGGGGTGTCAATCTCAAAAACACAGTGGGCCAAAATTTAAAACCTGAACAAAGTCGCGGGCCAACATTGAACAAATGAACCTTTTAATATGGACCGAAACAAATTTTGCTTAAACATTGAATATGGAACAAGCAACGCTTTTTACCAAACATTATATATAAGTTAATAGTGGAGACATGCAAAATCAAATTATAAATAAAAAAACACATCAATGGCACAGTGACAGTTGTAGTGTGAAGTCGCTATGCCTACTGTCACAGAGGAGAGGGAGTTTCTGGGTCCTGTCCTGATTGACGCGCCAAAACAACAACAGGGCATTATGGGATTTGTAGTATTAGCGGTGAATGCGCTGTACAGTATAAGACCGGGGGCAACTCTAGTAGTCATTTGGTATTGTCTCGCGGCCCAAATATAATTACAAAGCGGGCCAAATTTGGCCCGCGGGCCAGAGTTTGACACCCCTGGGTCAGACGTTTGAGAGGCGGGCCCTCTCTGCCCGCTCACATTTACCACCTTCTGCTCGCTTCGTCTGTATGGTCGCTGCCGACTGTCAATCAAGCCAGCCACGCCCCTTGCCCCGCAAAATGTTGACATTTTTAAAAAATTCAGTATTGATTTATTTTCAGATTGGCCACCTGATCTCTGGATTTGACCATGAAAACTAATAAGAAAAAAATCCTGAGCTGTAGGAATGCGGTATTTGGTGATCTGTGATCACTTCTTTTCCAATTCCAGTCTATGGGAGCCAGGACTTTTTGGAGCCAGCAGCTAGCGGACGTAGTGATGTTGAAGGTTTTTGACACTTCCGGGTTGGCTTCATTTTTCAGGGCCGGTTGCTACGTCCATCTTTTATACAGTCTATGTTCAGAGGTCAACACACTGACTTGACACTAATTTACTGGAGACTTGCTCACACATCTAAACTCTTGCCTTACCCTAACCTTAAAACGTAACTTGTTTGTTGTCGCCGAGACAGAGAGAGAGAGGGGAGGCTCTAGTTGCCATTTTTGCCATTACATTTTTACTCAATTTTATCGTATTTCGTACTAAAACATAAAGTCCTGAACCTCTATGGAAGCAGCACAACCCTGGCTAGAAGGAGGAAGAACTCAGACGTGTCTTTACTGCAGAACAACAGTTGCAATGCCATGAATCCTACAAAAAGAAAGAAACAAACAAAAGACAAACTGAGAAAAAAACCTGGAATCAACATGTGCAATATTTCTCCGTGTGCCCACAGGTGTTATGTTGGAGCTGAATCTCAACCTACCAGAAATTAAACTGTGTGAGATAGCTCCTGCGCATTCGTTTAATGAAGCAATAGGAGAAGATATTTGTTTATCAGATAGCTGAATAAGCCTACAGAGCTCTGGATCAAACGTCTCACCCTCGCACCAACAGAGTTAATGTCAGGGCACGAAGTCTGACCGATTGCCTCTCCCTCATCCAGTGTACTTATACTATTACATGAGGATGAGCACAGAATGTGTTGCAGCTCGCTGATTGGCTCCTCCGTGTCCTTGGTCCTTCTTCCACCATCTCGTAGGTGCAGAAACTTTCCACTCAGCACCCAGCTGTTGAGCACCTTCAGTTTCTCCCTCCTGCAGATGCCTGCTTGTGACAGAGAAACATACACACAAACCACCACATCCTGTTTCTACCTACGTTTTCTCATGTTGCAGTTGTTTATAAGTTATGTTGATTATGCCTTAAGATGATAATAAAAGATCAAGATGATAATAAGAGGTTAAAATAACAATAAGAGATTATCAAAATATATGATCCTAACAGTTGCTGCAAATGCTGTAGATATTTACTGTAAAATTTTGGCATTCTTAGTGTGTTTCCGTACTTGTCTCCTCTCTCCTCTGTCTAAACACAGCCTGCAGTTCAGCCCAGACCCAGATTTTTAGTTACATGAATGCTGATGGCAGCTGAGTTGCTGATGGGTTTATTGTTGTGTTCTGGAGCACACAGAATCTTGTTAATACAAACGGTAGAATAAAGTGCTGCTTTAGATAAAATGCTGATAGATTAGATTGATTAGATTAAGTTGAGTTTCCACCTGATTACACACACGATGAGTTCAAAGACCAATTACAAAATCTGTGGAGTCTTCTACAGTTTCTGGCTGATAAATGGTGCAATTTTGGTGCGTTTCTTTTAAGATAATGTACCTTTCAACCTCTGGGGTGCAGATGATTCAAAGCAGTATTAACATCTGCATCGTCTTGTCTGTTCATGTCTCCTCCATGTTCAGGAAGCATGAGTACAAAGCTGTGGCCAGTGAGCGACTGGGCAGGTCTGACTCATACCAGGAGCAGTATGTGTTTGTTTACAGGTGAGCTGAAACCGTCTGTGCTGTTTTGTGTCTCAGTGCACGAAAATGTGAAGTCATGGATACAGTTGTGGACGACTTTGGGATCTGTAGCTGTAGCTCAAGTCAATGATTTACTTTTTCAGATCTCTGCTGACCTCCTCAGAGTTTCCCGCTGTAATGTTTGTGGCTGAGTCTAATGAGTGGATCACATGGGCCCGAAAAAAGAACTAAAATGATGTGTTTCAGCCATTCCATCATAGAGTTATAGGAATCATGATAAACTCAAGACTGCCGTGGTCTTTACAAGTGTGTGGAAGCTTTTGTTGGCGACCGTACAGGCGGTAAAGTTCGTGTTGTACTATTTGTATCTGAACAGGACTGACACAGTGATAGTCACTGACCAGTATCAGTACCCAGATGATAAACCAGGAGACGTAGATGCTTTCGCCAGAGAGCCTTTTGTCGTCCGATTCAGAGCCCCGAAGACAGGTGAGGTTTCTGACACTCAGCATGACCATTAAAATAGTAGAAAGTGTAACATGGTGATGTTCAGGGGTTCTTTTCCTCCCTCCAACCTCCGCTTTTATCTGCAGCTATTAAAGAATTTGCCCTCATACCTCAGCACACGACTCCAACCAACACCACTAAGGAGCTTGATGCGCTGTACGATGTTTTGCAACATGTGAGAGGGAAGTGGAGGACTGAGGTAAGCGCTCATTTTTCAAACAACACTGTTGAAACTCCGTTAATGAATATGCTGTAATGTAACCATGACTGTTGCTGCGTGGACATGAGCAGAACGTGATGCTTCTCGGAGACTTCAACGCCGACTGTGGGTACCTCGCTAAGAAGAACAGGAAGTTTGTGCGCCTGATTACGGGAAACAACCTCTTCTGGCTCATACCAGATGACGTTGACACCACCGTGCGATCGAGCACATCCTGCTCCTATGACAGGTGAAGGAACTCGTGTTTGGGAACTTTGTTGGGAAGTAAAAGGTTCCTTTGACTGTTTGTGTTCTGCGTTTTCACAGCAGTGTCTCAAAATGAGGCAAATTAGTCAAAACAAAAGTCATTTTTGCACCCAAAAATACAAAAACAATGATAAATCTAACAACCTTCTCATTGTGGATCACAGTCTCAGTTCCTCATTGGGTTCCTACTTGTGGATAAATACTTAAAAATGCCTGGAATTTATCATCAGTCCATGTAAGGCTGAGTTCTCACTGCAGGAGTTTTGGGATGAAACTCGGAGCTTAAACTGATGTTCAGCCCAGATTGTAAAGTCTCTGTTATGTGGTTATGAACAAACCGAACCACCGCGAACTTCAGTGTTGTTTATTACCGAGGCTGCCGTTCATACATGGACGCTGTTCCTGACGCTGACGTTCCAGCCATTACCTTGCAAATACCAGCAGGTGGCGTAGTTTAATTGACATTATTTGGTAACCCCAGCAAGCAAGCAAGCAGGGAACGTTCCCACAACATTTGCTAACAATATCTATAAATTTTCATATTGTCTCAAAGAAAACATTTTAATCTAATGTTTAAAGAACGTTTTATCATTTCAAATAATGTTTCTAGAATGTTAAAACTGAACTAAGACACATTTTAACATTCAGAGGGTGTTTGGAAGATGCTGTCAGATTATGTTCCAGGATAACTAAACTCACAAACCAACATTCAGAAAATGTTTTCCAGACATTATCGAGGCCTCAGATCGCAGAACGTTTTAATAAAACATTCCTGTAAGGTGACAAAATGTTCTTCCATAGAACAGCCATAGTGTAAGAAAGCCTCGAGACTTTCTTCTGCCTTCAAGAAGAACAAAAAAAATTTCTAGAACGTTGCAGAACAGTTTTTCCGAATCTTATTAGAACAGAGCAGGACGAAAACTATTTTTTTTGCAGTTGCAGATTTTTAAAAATGCTAGAGAACTGGAGTTAGTGACTATTCATGAAGTTCACAGTTAATCCAAAACCCATTCCCTGATTGTTAATCTCACTGTCTATAAATAGTGAGATTTCCATGGGCCACCATCACAAAACACCAAAAAATATCACAACAAAATGACATTAATTTTAGCATTTGATTTGATTTTTCTGGGGAACTTTTTCAGAAGCAAACATTTCAATTCCAACGTTTCCTTTTTCAGTTTAAGTTTTGTTTTTAATGCCAGACAAGGTTTTACCTGAAATGAAATGCGGCCTTGTCTTAACTACGCTCCACGGGAGAGGCTCCTGATTCTGGAAGCTCCAGATGACTTTGTTTTAAAAGCTTTACGTAACGTCAGCTCTTTAACTTGCCTTCTGACAAATGAGCAACATGAGTGAAATGCGTTGTCTTGGTCTGCGTGCTCCGACAGGATCGTTGTGCACGGAGAAACCTTTCGCAGAGCCGTTGTTCCTGCTTCAGCCAAACCATTTAACTTCCAAGAGGCATATCGACTAACAGAGGAGCAGGTAACAGCCCCGCGTGTCTGCATGGGTGTTAAATTACATTCTCATACATATTAAAGTCCATCAGAATGTAGGTTTTGAAGTTCTATATCAATAGTTATCCTTCCCTCACCTTAACCAAAGTGCCTTTGTTGCCTAAAACTGATGGGAGTCTGAATGTTTGTGTGCTTTGTAGGCCCACCATCCACCCCGATCACCTCCTGCTGACTCTAATGCAGTTCTTTTATGTTCCCCTTTGATTACGCTGCAACGAACTGGGAAACTTTTTTAGTTGTTCATGTAAATGTGAAACAATTTGACAAACAGAACTAAGAATATGCCAAAAAACCCAAACAAATAAAACCAGAATTCTGTCCTGTATTTATGTTTTGATGCTGGAAAACTGTTGTTTCTGTGATTTGTGTTCAGGCGCTGGATGTCAGCGACCATTACCCGGTGGAGGTCCTGCTGCAGGTCGATAGCAGTCCCTTCAGTGGCACAAACAAACCTGCCAATCAGAAAATGCTCTTTTCTCTCTTCGTCCTCAGTCATCTTGTCCTTCAAATGTTAACGTGGTAGTTGAATAATAAACCAACAGGAGGAGAATGTGAGGACGGCTGGCTTCATGAACTGAGGAGAACTTCATGGTGGAGTCCAACTTGCCAAAAAGCTGAATATCTTGAATATTAAGGAGGAAGGTTCTCCAAACTGGATGATATCTGCAGCATTATCAGTGTCTTTATGGCAAACAACTTGTTGTCATGTAAAATATATTGAATAAATATCAAAGTATAGAAATGTTTGTCCGATAAAAATCAAAGAAACGTACCTGTTGTAAATACTCTTGTTGACATTTTGTTTTGAGCGCTATTTATAAAGGATTAAACTCAAGTCAGATCTTAAACTATGTGGTGACTTTCTCCTTTACTGGACATCTTCTGTTCTAAGAATAAAAAAGGCAAACTCTGTCCATAAACCACAAGGAAAATAACAGAAATCTTTGGTAACTCTTCTTCCTCCTGCACAATAACACTTAAATTTAACACAAAAACGTACTAATGTGGGTGAACAGGACTTTAAAGTGCAACGAAGGTGAAGCAACCTTTTCACAGTCCTGTGTCCATAGTTCTTTCTTCTATTTTTTTATTTCAAACTTTTCAGGAACAATAATTCAGTATGAAAGAGTGTCCTTTGTTTTATT